GAGTCTGAACGGTGCGTGGTGCGCTTTTGCGTGAATACAGCCAAATCTATGTGCATAGTGCTGATTGAGAGTTAAATCCGGTCGCATCAATTTCGCGTTTTCTACCTAGACTTTTCGCTCTCAAACTCATACGAGCATTCGTACTATATTCACAGTACAAGTGTTTTCTACATGCGTGAACTCTCGGCTGACGTTTTTCGAAGAAACTCACCACAAATTGAGAAAACATTGATGAACTCTTGTGTGCTTTAATTAGAATCTGGCTAGTTTGACAATTTACTTCATTGTCACAAGTGAACATTCAGCTGTGAATTGGACAATATGTGAGCTGAATTTTGGTAATCCGTCATAGTTTGTAAAATATTTGAACACTCCCCGTGTATAAAATTAAACCAGTGATATGATGATTAGAACGTGACTGAGGAGAGGAACAGAGTTTTCACATACAATTCGTGTAAAATGTGCAATTCACTCAAAATCTCTTCTGAGTTGCATCGGAGTCAGCAATTTAAATTCGATGATCGGAAATCGTGTGACTTACGATTCAACAAAAAGCTAATGATTTGATGAGAAAACCATTGAGCACTCATCAATCTGTGAGGGAGCGACAATTTTCCACCAAAGAAAAGGTCAAAATCCGTGCTGAACTGAGGCAGAACACTGAAAAGTATCGGAGAAACTTAAGCGTGTGTGCGGTGGGTGGAAGATGATACAATTCGGAATTGTGAAGTACGGGATTCTGAAGAAATTTAAAGATAAACCCCGACCGAGCAGAGGTAGGCAAAAGATATGTAAAAAATCAGTTTTCCGTGTGTGCGATTTGCATTTCATCAAATATACCATTCAATCACATTTATCTTTGTCCTCAAATTTGCAAAATACAAATGCTAATCGCTCCCAACGAGCAATATTGAGCATAGACCAGATTAATGCAGTCATATTTTGGTGAAAGTATTAAAAATTCAGCCGAAAACAGCGGCGACGCAGATAAAAAAAATGTCTTATAACCGATTTTAGTGTAACACATTAAGCACTTTTTAATAAATCGTATTTTACATAAAAAAAAATCACACTATTAAAATGCTTAACTCAATCACATTAAGTACAAAATTGAAATGAAATACAGACCCACAAAGTGAAAGCACTGAAAAAGAAGTGTATATTTTAGTTAAATATCACACCGCCTCGATGAGAATTTAAATGAGAAAGTGTAGCCGTAATTTAATTTTTATTTGTGTCTCTCTCGCAAATTAATTTTTCATATCACGGTTACAATAATTTTATGTTTTTCGCACGACTTCCAAATCTAAATGTTCATAAGAGTGTCTCTTGTTTTTCCGAATGAGTTGCGCTCATATTAAAAGTGCTTTAAAAAAGAAACTTACGAAATTCTTCTCGCGTTCGCGACACTTTGGAGGATATATCCAGAGGCAGCGCAGTAATAAATTGAAACTGATTATGAAAAAAAAAATCGCAAATGACCTCAATTTTGTTCGTCACGAAGATTTTGGTGGCTCAATGAAATAGCATAGAGTAGAATTGTGAATCAATTTTTCAGAGTTAGGTGTTAAATAAATTTCAATTGCGTTCAAATTATAATATTTGGCTTTTCAGTCCTGTATGATTGTTTATTTTCTCAATCACCATGCGTAATTGTGTACATTTTGGAAGGAATAATTGTGAAAATATTTCAACAGGAAATTTTTCTGGTGTATTTGTGTGATTAATGTGTCCCAAATATAGCGCGTATTTTTAGTCTCAAAAGCCAACTGTTATATCTGGCAGTGAATTTTTCATTAATACTTCTGGAGGGTTCGACAGGAATGTAAACAGAAAATTAATGTGAGCTTCAACTTCTGGGGTGAAGAAGAAGGAGGCTTGCGCTATCTCACCAGAAACCTTATCCGTGGAATATTGTCATCACATTGAGCCACCATCCAGGGAGAAAATTACATCTTCTCTGCCAACATCTTCAATTGATGTTGACTCGATATTTCCGTCAACGTGGCGTACTCCAAATATTTTGGGCTATATTCAGTTCATAAGAGATACAATCGCACAAAATTTAATTATCAATCCCAAGAAGTTGTGTACAATATTTCACGGCATAAAACAAACAAGACAAATCATGGATATGACTTTGAAGGCACTTTTCAGCTTCAATACAGGGTTATTCCGAATCATTCACGGCAAATCAAAACACCAAAACACACAAGTGCGGCAAAAAGATAAATGTTCCGGAGGCGCTTTTCAATTCCAGCACTTTTATTGCGAGTGTGAGTAACCCTGTTCGCACACTTACTCCTTCAAAGTGTTAAGAGATGGATAATCTTGCCATATACCAAAATTCTAGACATTTCCCAAATATATCTGATTCCCTAAAGTGAATCTCTTATACACTATTCACTTCTGGTTTCTATCAAATCAATTGGTGAAATCTAAACAGAAAATTATGTATGTATTAAATAAACACCATAATTCATTTCTAACACCGATCAACCATGTAGCAATTTCTGCTCGACTTTCCACAAACATTGCGCAGATGAGTGGAGGAAAATCTGCTACAAGCAGCATTTCACACCCCTTAAAATATGGCACAGATCACGCATTATAAAGACAGACAAGTCGAAAAGTTTACAAATCAAAAATTTTAATTCTACTTGACGGACTCAAAATCTTTCGCGTGTCTAGGCGTAGGAAGCCCAATGAGATTCACTCATTCTCACTCTGAATATATGAAAGAAGAAATGATTATGAAGTCAGTTTCCTGCCAAACCACAACTCAAACATAAATATTCGAAATGCCAAAATGTGATTTTCAGCGGGTATATCTTAAGAAATTTCTTACATATATGTTACACCCGCGCCGCCCTGTTTTGCGGAGGAGAACACAGAGTGGAAAAACGGCCCCATCGACATAACTTTTTGGCCAACAAAAATATACAAGTGCCAGTTGATGGGCTGATGGGTACTCAATGGGGTGATTTTGATGAAAATTTTTCCTCAATCTCTTCGGCCGCATTCAAATAAATAAATCATTTAATTGACTGCAATGCGATGTTCCAATGATTTCTGGCATCTATCCCTCATCATTGCGAGGCTTCTTAGTAAAATTATGAATATCACTTGAGAGGCTCCTTTGTGTGTTTGTGTATTTCCCAAATTGCACAATTTGTTATTTCTTCGCTTGAGCTCCTTTTCACAAGTCGGCTCAACACAATCAAACAACGCCTCAACTGACCAGCGCCGTCGGCATTCGCGCGGCGAGAGAGAGAGATTGAAAATTGATTGGTTTCCATGCCTGGCATATTCATATGTAGGTATTCTACGTGAATTCCAGCACAGCATCTGCTGTTCTAATCGGAAATATTCCAATTTGCCCACCGTATGCATGACGACGAGGCAACTTCGGAAGCTGAATTGTTAAATAATTTCATGGCTCTATCATTTTGGTTGAGATAGCGAGCGAAGCTCTTCTGGTTGCACTGTGCATCCCCATACATTTGTGCCTTTTATATCCAACTCCTATTGTTCTGGAGATCTCAAGTACAGAATGCAATTGTAAACATAATCATAGAGTCTAGCAAGTTCGATCTACATTTTGTGCTGCGCCTTCCATCTAAGTATGTATATGAGGCATCCAAAAGGACAGCATTGCAGTGTGGAAAAGGGGGAAGGAGGGCTCTTACGCCGTGGAAGAAGCACCTGAGGTAGTTGATTTCTTTATTTCGATGCTCCAGCCACTTTTCACTTCGCTCCTTTGGACCCTGTGAGAGTTTCACATTAAGACAAGATCGTTGCTTGGATAGTGAAATGAAATAGAGACATTTCTGTTTTGCTGTTAAATTGCTAACACAAGAGAAATGTGTGACTATCTTGAGGAGACTCTGCCGGGCAATATATAGCAACTGCCCACTTTGCCGTTGTTATTATTATTAAATGGTACACCTCAATTGCTCACGAGGCGAAGATGTCATAGAGATCTGACTGAAGAGTGTGGCAATTTGACATGATTTACCATGAAAATCAAATGGATTAATGTCGGTGGTAGAATTAGAAGTGTCAGCTGATGGCACAAGAGATGCTTCCTCGACACCTCCTACCTATTTAATACATACAATGTATATAATGCACACTTATTTATAATGTTCTAAAGTCAATGATTTGTTTTTACTTTTGGGCCACGCTTGCATACGCTCAGGGTTATTTTTCAACTTACCCAGTGTCTTTAATACCCCCATTTGCATAGCAGATATCGAGCAACTTTTATTATACGACAAGTAATTTAAATTGCATAAATATCATCAATGCGTGGCACTAAATGCCTTCCTTTTGCTTTATTTCGCATGAAAGCCATTCGACGATGCAAAATCTCGCTGATTTGCAACATCCCCTTTTTCCATCATTTTGTAGTTGTTTCTGGTTGCATTCTGTGCGTTCGCTTCATCCATGACTTTGTCTCTCGTCCACTCACACAGGTCACTCAACACTTCTCTGTGGACTTCACTTAAGGAGGAATGAAAAATGTGCATCAGAGAATGCAATGTTTTTGCACAGTCGCGGGCTTGAGAATACATAGAAAGTCACATACAGACATGAGAAGTTATGAGATTGTATTCTATACTTGCCATATTATATTTTATTTATCTCCAAAGATGAAATGTTAACGTGTTTTTCATCGCACTCGATCGCAACTCATTGACCATACACGGATTTTAATTCACATCTTATTAATTCGCATCTCATTTGGACAATCTGGAGGAGGAGTAAATATAGTGCCTTTTCTGCTATATTAAAATATTTGTAAATTTAGTGAGGCTGTTTGGGGAATGAAGGAAAAATGAGTCGATCTTATTTCAACACAGTTGTTGCTAATTAATTTGCAGGGACTGTAAATATGGCATTAATAAAGTTTTATAATGAATTCTCATTGTATGATAGTTGCAATATTGTTTCAGTGCATTTAGTGTGTATATTTATGGACTTTCCTCTCGTTTCAGGTGATAGTGCAGGCTCCTGCTCTGAAGACGACGCCGTGCTGTCCGATTCAAATCCTCGTTTAACGTGTGAGCGATGTCAAGAGACATTTGCCGACGATCAAGACCTTTTAGATCATCGGGACGCATGCAGCATATCACCGACCAGTATTCCCGTAAAAGTTGAAACCCCAGCCTCACCAGAAGTGGCGGGTCGCAGCAGTAGCCCGGCCGGTAGTCCGGTGGGGATACCCAAGACGGAGCCACTTGGCGCAGAAGAGGAATCCCCTGAGGCCTCCGATCCCGTTGATTCCGGTGGAGTGGAGAAAGCCTTGCGCCACAGCCAAGATGCTGCGAATAACAATAATAGCGAGGGTGACGGAGAAGCCGAGGAGGACGCTCCTGAGGAGGAGGATGAGGAGAACATGGAGAGACAAGAGATACCAATAGCGCCAGAGATGAGTTGTCCTGAGCCGGGAGGACCATTTCCGCCCAGCCATGTCACTCTGGAAGCACTGCAAAATACAAAAGTGGCCGTGGCTCAATTCGCCGCCACGGCTTTGGCCAATAATGCTGACAATGAGGCCGCCCTCAAAGAATTGGCAGTGCTGCACTCCACACTCTTCACCCTGCAGCACCAGCATGTGTTTCAGCTGCAACTAATTCAGCAATTGCAATCGCAATTGTCTATGAATGTGACTAAACCTACCAGAAGCATTAGCAAGGACTCGTGTGGTCGCGATGAGGATCCAATGGAGATCAAAGATGACATGGAGGGATGTGAAGATCCGTTGGATCGGGATGATATGAGTGATAAGCATGACGATGAGGATCTCTCAAAATTGGAACCAGAAGTTATAATTAGCAGGTAAGAGAAACGAATTTCCCCCATTTTCAATCGTTTTCAAATGTGAATTTTTCCGGGAATCCACCAATTGGTTTGAATTGAATGGTTTTTGCATACAATTTCACTTTGCCAACATCAAACCACTCACTCGCGTTGTATGTATGAGCTGGTGGTTACACGCAAATATATCCCTCTTTGCAGAGATCCCAGTCCAGAGCCACTGGTGAAAAAATCCCCATCATTTATCGATAAGAGAGATGAGCAGCCTCTTCCCGCCACCCAACCCCTAATTCCCTCCCTGTCCTCCCATCAGCCACCGAGGATTCCGTCTCCCATGAAAGCGCCCATGTGCCACATCAGTTCCTCCCTCGCCTCCAGCATCATCACGAATCACGATCCACCGCCATCACTGGATGAGCCCAACTCGCTCGAAATGCTCCAGAAGCGCGCCCAGGAGGTGCTTGATTCGGCTTCCCAGGGTCTGCTGGCCGGAAATCTGGCAGATGAGCTGGCATTTCGAAAAGATAAAATGTCCCCGTACGACTCAAAGGGCAATCGCAATGAACCCTTTTTCAAGCATCGCTGCCGATACTGTGGCAAGGTCTTCGGCTCTGATTCTGCTCTCCAGATTCACATTCGCTCCCACACGGGTGAGCGTCCCTTCAAATGCAACGTCTGCGGCAGCAGATTCACCACGAAGGGCAATCTTAAGGTGCATTTTCAGCGGCACACTAGCAAATTTCCCCATGTTCAGATGAATCCCAATCCTATTCCGGAACATCTTGACAAGTACCATCCACCGCTGTTGGCTCAATTGTCGCCCGGACACGCGCCGCCTCAGCACGCTCCTCTGCCTCACCCGCAATTGCCTGTGTCGGTGCCTGTTCCCTTTCCTCCGGGCGCTGGATTTCCGGGTCTACCGCTCTATCGGCCCCCGCTGGATCTCCTCAAGCCCGTTGGTGGCCACCCTCATCCTCTCTTCGGCCTGGCACAGCCCCAGCAACAACCCGAACAGGACATGCCGGCGGATTTGAGTAAGCCATCCTCAGTACAGACGAAATCTCCCTCGCCAATCCGACCGATGGTGCATAAAGTGAAGCAGGAACCTCGGGAGGACACTATGACGCCCCCACAAGATGTGCACCATCTCAGAGATCGCTCCCCGCTGGACAGAGTTCGGGAGAGTGTGTCTCCTCCATCACGGAGTCGTTTCGACCAGGAAACAGATCGATTTTCTCCCCCGGCCAATTTCGATGACTGCTCCATGGACAGCAAATACAGTGAACCGCGCGATGGTCATGATCAGGATCAGCCTGAAAATTTATCAGCCAAAGCTGCTCCCAGATCTCCGCCCAGTAGTGCCAGCAGCCAGGCATCTGGATCAATCTTTCATGGCTCCACTGGTGGTCCTGATCCCACCAAGGACCCCGTACTGTACTCTTCGCTGCTCCCGCGCCCCGGGAGCAACGACAACTCCTGGGAGAGTCTCATTGAGGTGACGAAGACATCAGAGACGTCGAAGCTGCAGCAACTCGTGGACAATATCGAGCACAAGCTCACGGATCCCAATCAGTGTGTCGTGTGCCATCGAGTGCTGTCTTGCAAGAGCGCCCTCCAGATGCACTATCGCACCCATACGGGTGAGCGCCCATTCAGATGCCGCATCTGCGGACGGGCCTTCACCACCAAAGGCAACCTCAAGACGCACATGGGAGTGCATCGCATGAAGCCGCCTATGAGGACGCTGCATCAGTGTCCGGTGTGTCACAAGAAGTACTCAAATGCGCTGGTTCTGCAGCAGCACATTCGGATGCACACTGGCGAGCCCACGGATTTGACTCTGGAGCAGATTCAGGCCGCCGAAGTGCGGGACTTTCCGTCACTCTCGCCCGGACCATTTGGCATGGGTCCATTTGGCTTTCCACTGGGCGCCGGTGTGCCCACGGGTCACGTCGGGGGTTCTGGCTCGTCACAGGGCGACAATGACGATTTCATGGAGGACGACGAGGACTTTGATGAGGAGAACAGCAACTCTGAGGACTTGGGCAGCACGACTGGCTCTTTGCCCACTTCCTTAGCGGCGCTGGAGAGTCAAGTTCGTACAATCACTACAATGGCATCGCAATTGTCAGCATCTGGTCTGGCGGCGCGATCCACAGAGGATCTCTCTCGAGTCCACTCAATCTCGAGTCACGCCGCCAGCAATGGGGAGCGCAGTCCACCGCTACAGAGCCCCGGAGTCGCCCAGCCTTCTCCAGCTCCATCGGAAAGCTCCACTGGTGGAGCTCTGGATCTCACACCACGCTCCAGTGGCGCTCCCCATTGTAGCCCACCGATGCTGCACGGTGCCCCTCCTCTGGGGATGTTTCCCAATTTCCCTCTCCTTCCCCATGGTCCGATCGCCTCCTCGACGCCAATGATGAACAGTGCGCTCAACTCTCTTGCCCAGTCTGTGCTGCCGGCGTCACCCTTCAACCCTCTCGGCATTTCTGGTGAGTTAATCTTTACATTTATCCCCCGTTAACATGAAATTGTTCTTCATGCAATCTTTATATAAGACACACGAAAATACACGCTTCCCACCCTTCACGAAAATGCAATGAAATAATCCGTCTTTGTACAAGTCTTAAAACTCCGTTTATCAAAATGTTATCTTTAACTTTGAGCAAAAGCTCTACTATATCTACTGCGCATAAATTCAGATCTTTTGAACTTGTAAATGTGTCTATTTTGTATTCAATAAGTACCAATTTTTGGGCGGTAGTTTCAGTGTTAATCAAGAAATGCCTCTGATTTTGTACATGATTCTCAAAAATGTTGCGTATTCCACTTAAAATATATCACTATGTCATTTTAAAAGTTCCTCGCATGTCATAAAAATTGGCAAAGCAGATTTTTGGCATTATTGCTTTACTGTCATTTCTTCAGTGAGAAGGAAATAAAAGTTTAATTGTCAAATTGCACAATAATTTACCCAAAGAAGCAAGAAATTAAATATATTTACCGGCACAATTCTGTCTTTAATTTGACTAATACTTTTCCCTATGACTGATTGCTATATTCTTGCCTTAATTTGTCGTTTGATAATGCCTGAAGAAAAGAGTGCAATTCTCTAAATGTAATTGACGTGGCGCTAAAATTAGCCTCATGCCAGGCAATAAAGTATTTACAAACATTCGCGACTTGACAGAAATTATGTCGCTGCTATTAACGAGTCAGAGACGCATTTTGTAAGTGCGGAGCTTCTTATTTGTGCCCTTGACTGCCGCCCTAATATTCCCTCCGAGAGGAGAACAGACTCTTTCTCTTCTCGCAATCCAGAAGCAGAATGCAATGCTGCCGCGAGTTCGAAAGGCCACGACAATTTTAGATGCGTACACACATTTTGCAGTAGTCCAACGTTTGTGATAGAGTATCTTTAAATATTTCATCACTCTCCCTCCTTACAATGCGTCAAAGAAAAATGGGCAAAACGATCACAAAATCAACTTGCTGAGAATTGGAATGCAAATCATGCAGCTGTGTGACGATTATTTTAATCTAAATCGCGTCTTCGTTTCACTAAATTATCTATTTTATCGCAAATAGATGCACTAAATTACTCTTAATTGCACGATCAACGTGTGTTTTTTTTCTCTTACTCGATATCAGCACTCACCAAAAACAATACGGCAAAAGCAATAATCGTTCTGAGATCATCTGTGGAATGTCGATGGCACCCATAGTCATTTTTCTGAGATCTTTCAAATTGCATCTTTCACTGCGCCTCGCAAAAGTGTTAAATTTTCTCTGCTCTTTCGCTAAAGACGATAGCGATTTTTTTCTCTGAAAAGAATACTGTAATCATTGTGATGTGGGCGATAGAGGCATGGTTTTTTGACAAATTTTTCTTACACCTTTCAGATGATCTCTTCGGGTACTCAAGATTTGGTAAGATAATTGCAAACAAAATATGTATCACGTAGGTTGATTCTCTCTCATGTCACACTCCAAGCCATTTGTACATCATATCTGTCGCACAGCGTAAATTATATCCGTCGTCCTGTATTGAACTGGACACTGAGACGGGATTACGGCCCAAATAGTCCAATGATTTGACAATAATGCCAGAGCGCGCGCATCTTGATGGCTCTGGCCACGCCATATTTCAACTTAAAGTGCTTCATTAAGCAACAGCTAATCGGGTAATTATTCGCAATTAAATGGGAGTCGTAAGTGCGAGAAGACGCTGTTAAAGACATTTTAATTTCCGCGTGAGAAGATAGAGAGCTCCGCCGATAAACAACCACTTTGTGCTCATCGCCTGATTTGCTCGGCGGCCGCGGCGGTGAAATTTGCCGGCGGTCCTCCAAACAGGTGCCAGATGACTCGACTTCCTCACCAGACGCGAAGAATTGCGTATGTGAGAATTTCCTCGCGACTCTGTGACACTCCTCGATGTTCTCCTATTCTTGGCCACGTGCCAATTCTGCACTCTCTCGCCACACGTTCGCGATTGGGGAGCAATCAATTGTGTCTATTTTACCTGGACTTTTTTTTGCCAGAATTTGTCTCTCGCGAAAGTGCCCACGAGCCCTTTAAACATCTCTTCAGTCCCGATAAGCTATTTGTTCACTGCGTTCATTGTCAATAACACTGATGTGGTCTCTTTCAGGTGTTCGTGGCAATACAACGTGCAATATTTGCTTTAAGACATTCGCGTGCAACTCTGCACTCGAGATTCATTACCGCAGCCACACTAAAGAGCGACCCTTTAAATGTACAATTTGTGATCGTGGTTTTTCCACAAAGGTAAGTCACATGTCACCAATGTTTTCTAGTCTCCTCTAAGCATTTAACATGAGACTTTTCCACATAAACATTCGACTTGCAATTTTTCAAATTAATTCCATAGCATTGCTAGCATTTTTTATTGGCTCTCTTGTGTCGAGACTGTATATATTGTTATGCTTTGCGTGTATTCTTATCAGGGAAGCAGAGAGAAATTGCATTTTTTATGAAAGGGTAATTATTAATGAGGTTATAATTGACACAATAAATCAGTATGTTTTGACATTCAATTTAATATGCAGTCCTCAGAGAAAAAGGATTCATATGTGCTTCTGAGTCTGTATATATGTATGTATATATCGAGAACACTTACTTGCCATCTATTCATGGAAAATCCCCTTGACTAGATCTAACAAAGTGCTGCTAAAATAAGTAATCAGTTATTTGCTTTTATAGCTTTTTCATATATGCATTCAAAGTGTCCCACAATAATAATTGTGGCGAGAAAGGGAGACGTTTTAAAGTGTGGTGTGTTAAATTGAGGGCATACGATTAAATGAAAATCCGCCATAGAGGCGCGTCGTCTAATAAACTGTTGTCACTCGGATCATAATTCAAGTCGTCTAACAAGAGAGTCTCTTGATATATTTTCATATTTAATTTATTATATTAAAATTTCATATTACAAACGGTAGGTAATTATAGTGATAAAATTTGACATAATTAATTTACTCTCTATGTCTGGTGTGCATGGCACAAAGCTGATGGTGGTATGAGGTGAAATGCTCATGCTGTCAAGTATCTTCATAGTTATCTGCATTTTATGAACTAAACATATAACGTGTACACATATACAAGTGCTTGAATCTATATGTATGCCGATTATAAGGATATAACGTCTTCATAATAATTGCTGAAAAGCGTGGAAATAATTATGTGAATCTCATGGGAACACAATGTGTATGAGGCGCACTAGAGAATCCACAGACACATTAGATGAAAATGATGAAATTAATTTTATTTATATATAAATTGTTGGAAGTCGCAAAGAGGGAAATTATTTCACATTTGATTATGTATACGGTTTTACAAAGAAAATGCATGTGCAGTTTGTATATGATAAATTGAGCCAAATGCCAGGAATTCTGTACGAAATATGTGGAACATGCATATTCATTCCCTTTGATTCTCATCGCCACTTCGTGAATTCATATATTAATTGCGAATCTTTTCAAAGATACTTTCATGCAAAATTTAATATTAAGACATTTTCATATGCTAATTGGAGGCAAATATTTCTGATGGTGTGTGGAATGCTTGACAAATAGCCCAATTTACTCTAATTGAATTATTTAAATATTTATTTCATATTTTCTTGACAACTTATTAATGTTTATGCCCACTTTACACATTTTCGCCGTATGATTTCAATCGGAACAATTAACTCATGCCACGTCTCAAGTCTCTCGACGCGATGACGATGTGAGAAACGATGGAATATAATATTTTATATTGCAATCTATTTCTCCTTTTATGGCTTCTCATAAAAAAATACACGTAGCAGATGCAAAATACGTGCCACTTTGAATGTCCCTGATCACTATTCTCTAATTTTCTATTATAGAGTGAAGAACTCCTCCATACATCCTTTCACACATCCAAACGAGTAAGTCTATTAAAGCTTATCTGATTAAAAAAAAGTTTAAAATCTAATTTTGCCTCATTTTTCTTTTCTTCCTTCTCGTTAATATAAATGGCAATTTTCGCGATGCTATGTTTAACGAACGAAAAAAACGGCACAAAAACATCAATATAGACTAAAATGTGTTATAAAAATGCTTTCAAAAACTTCATTTTGATGTCTTTCCATTTCTGTTTTTCGGAGCTGAAAAAGCGAGGAAAGGAAAACAATCTGTGAAATTTATATCATTCGTTTCTAAAATGAAATAAATTAATTTTAAAATACATTTACATATTGAGATTGATATCAATAATATATACAGCAGCATGGCCACCATCAATGCGTAATATAGAGAATTTATTGAGTAAAAAAATTTCAGAGTAAATAATATACTAAGCGACGGTGAATATGTAAATTTCGAACAAATACCCAATTAAAAGTTCATATCTAATTTTATCAAAATGCGTATCCACTTCTGGGCAACTCTATTCGGTCGTATCATTTCACTTGGCTCGGTGTTATCACCTTATGCATATATTATTCGTATCTATCCATGGCATTTCGCTCAAAGGCTGCAAAGGTTATCAAAGAGAGACCTTTCTGGTTGTATATACTTTGCATCAAGTTTCACTAACCACATTTTTTCACCTCCAAATTAGTGGATGATTTATTAGTTTGGCTTTTGCGAGTTTATAGTTCTATTTTTCATCTATTGACCAAACATTTATTCACACGGTGATTTGGTGAAAAATCTGCACCACTGTTGTAATGAGTGATATAATTTTTGGGCTGAAAATAAAATCCATGTGTAATAATTTCCTGAACATGAGCATTTCTCGTGAGAAACATAGTAAGAAAATGTGTATGTGATGCAATTAAGCAGACGCTGCGGTGTCTAGTCGGTCCATGTCTAGGTCTCACTCTGCTGACGACAATTTGTTGTGCCGGCATCGTCTTGGCGAAAATTATTCCACGAAAAACGTAAATTAGCCCATCAGGCTATAACAAGTGTAGTATGGAAGAGTATGTGTCTGAGATTCACTGTGCAAGTCTCTTTTCGAGTACTCATGACGGAAAACCATCTGGAGTGAGCAAAAGGGAGGGCAACAACCTACATTTAGCAATGTCTCACTCTCGACAATGATTTTCCATACTCCCTTGTCCCCATCATCAGTTCGAGAGATGTTTTGTTTCCAAGCTGTTCACATGAAAATTCGCTGCATGCAGACAAGAATATCAGCGGTTGGCGCTATTTTAAGGTGCACACTAAACCAACAATCAGTAATTTTCAAGCGGTTTCAGTATAAAAATGTGTGCGAATAAAAAAGTTATGAAGTATTTACGCATCGTCGAAATAGAGAAGAATAACTTATAGAAATATTTTGGGCATTTGCCAACAATTGTCGCGACTATAGGCTAATAAAATATTTTAGTGATACATCGCAGCATTTCTCGCGGTGTGTGTTCATTTTGCTGAAAATCTGCACGAAATGCCAAGGGGATGGTTGGATGTTGTTGAGAGACCAGAAAACACATAAGAAGTAAATCGACAATTGGCATTTTGATCTTATTCTATCACTCGCATCGCTTTTAGACTAACAATTTTCATCGATACAATTGAGAGCCAATAGATTATGCATTGCATTGGGATGACGGAATGCTTTAAGAATAGAAGAATGTCTGAGTGGAGGAAATTATCGTGCTATTGTACTCTCTCTCAGGCTCACTTACATAAGATGACCAGCTAGATGACTCAAACTTGTCGTGAATTCTCTCTTGTAGGGCAATATGAAGCAACATATGCTGACGCATAAGATCCGAGACATGCCACAGCATATGTTTGGCACCTCGGCGGCGTCTTCGGAGGCGTCACAGAGAGAAAACCGCTCAGAGAGCAGCAGCAATTCCATGGATGGCCGAGGAAGTAGCCATGAGCACGACGGCGATCGCGAACGCTCGTTGCCGGCTCATGTGCTGCGAAGATCCTCGCGGGATAGTTCTCCCAATGGTGATGCGATAAAACCGGAGACCGGTATGAAGAGATTGCCTTCTGAACCTGATCATCCGTCTCTCCCGAAGCGGCCGCTAAGTAAGTTTCAAAGATAATTTTTAGCCACTTTCTACATCTGTCATTCGTCTCTGCCTACCTAATTTTCGCCTAATGAGAAGAAATTAAAATTGATCAAGTTATACTTCTATCGAACCTAGAAACAACTACTACTAACGCCCTATGACCCCCCTATGATATGTACATACTCGTAAAAAAAAGCCGGAATATTTTAAAAAATCATGACTCAATTGAAACTGATCGCACCTAAGATGCGGATGAAGAACGTGCTGATTGACGTGACGTTCTTCCATTTTGAATCCTTTGCTCCCACTTGCTGGCTGAAATGCTTAAGCGCTCTAACAACCCCTAAAAATAAACAACACACCACGTGCTTTTGCAGCATCTTCCTCTGGGTCTCAGCAAACGGCCGGCGCCAATCGACCACCATCCTCGCACACGCCTACTCCGATTCCACTGCAGCGTCCGGCGTCACCTCCTCTGCCACCCATAGCCCTCGTCTCGGCCCCGGGGAGCAAGTCTCCGACGGCAGGCCAGAAGCCCGAACTGGGGCTCCTGCCGCTGCAGCGCGAGATGGAGCGAAGCGAGAGGCGCGCCGAGGAGCGCTCATCGTCGTCACAGTCGCAATCGGGTTCCGTTTCCAGTGACAATGGTGCTAACAGCAAGCACTTGTGCGGTGTCTGCCGCAAGAACTTTAGCTCGAGTTCTGCGCTGCAAATTCACATGCGCACACACACTGGCGATAAGCCTTTTAGGTGTTCTGTCTGCCAGAAGGCTTTCACAACAAAGGGGAACCTCAAGGTGAGAGAAAAGAGACCATATTCTCGTAGCCTCTGGTTAAACTCCCTCAAACGCTTCAAACTAATACTGTCATATTTTTGGCACTGACTTTGCTTATACTTCCATTTAGTTTCCCTCTTACTTTCTCTAATTAATCACACGCTATTTTAGGTGCTCACATTGAGTGTCGCGAAAACAATGACTCACGCGAGATATCTTGCACTTGTCCTTCGCAGGTTCACATGGGTACTCATATGTGGTCGAACGGAGCTTCACGTCGCGGCAGGCGAATGTCCTTGGAGCTTCCGCTCAACAGGCCCCTGCCATTGAATCCGCAGGACTCCGAATTCCTTCAGCGGCGGCCAGACCTCTTCTATCCGTACCTACCGGCACCCTTCCTTAACGGCATGCAGCAAAAGGTAGATTGAATCTTTTCCTAGCCTGTGCCTATGTATTGCATGCTATTCAGAGGTATCGGCAGCTGTGCCAAGCAACTGGCTTTGATGTTGAACATTGCGGGAATCTCATATGGGTGGTTTTACTCGTGGAATAGCAGCCAACCGGCGGTCCTGGCGGTTTAGGCTCACCGCCCGGACTCACGAGCAAGTACGCAGGTCTGCTAGGCTTCAGTGGCTTCATACCGGGTGGACATCACCTGGCAGCCATAGGCGGTCAGCATCACTCACCCTCTCCGTCGCCTCTGAGTGACAAGCCACCTTCGTCCGTCAGCCCGACGCCCAGTGGTGGCGGCGGAGAAGGTGACGGTGCATCGCCACCGCGCGGTCACGATCAGGGTGCGCAGCAGCGCATCTGGGGCCTGCACTATGAGCGCAAGTCCGCCAGTGCGAATGGATCTGTGAGTGATGACGGAGCGGCCACAATGGAGGGCATGGCTCTCCTGGCACCACCAACGCGCGGTGAAGGACTCGCCGCCTAGAGTCTCATATCTTAAATTCTAACATATCCCCTGGCAAGATGTCCACCATTTTATATCCACAACGGATTCCCCTGAATTCAGGAATCTTGCGCAGAATTCCTTTCGTATGGAGATACACGTGATTAGTCTTTTTTTATTTTGAAAGAGGAACAGTGCAAAGAATTTGTAGATTTTACTGAATAGAGCTGAAATACCATCAATTAGCTGACAGGACGAAAATATGTAGGGAAGGATAGAATTGATCGATGTGGGTTGCATGCGTGTATTCAACAAAATGAAAGTCGTCCTGTTGATATCACTAGTCTTTTACATGAGAACAACATAAAGAAGTAGAAATAAATTAAATTAGGACTATTTAAAAAAATGAAAGAGAGAAAAAAAACTTCAAAAGAACCCTAAATATATTGGAATCATATATAATTTCAACGAGACAATTACATACATTGTAATAATAAAATAGCGACTAAAGTAAATTAAAGTAAATATCTTATAAAAATAGGGATAAATCTATTTATATCTATTGTAAAACACTATCAAAATTACACATACATAAGAGAAAAACTCTGCAGAATAAAGACGAATATTTCATTTGATCCTTTACGGTTTCATAGGTGACAAAAAATGAATTTAAAAAAGATATATTTCCTTTCTAAAATTATATTGCAATTATCTCAGAACCCGTACAATAAGTGTTTTATTTTAAATTGCGCAAAATAAAGAGTTTTTGTTTTCAAATTTAATTTAATAATCTCTGTGATAAATAATAACAAGACGACATTCACCGTCGTTTTCGAGTTGATGACAATGTATGAAAATCATCTCAGACATTACAAACATATTTACTTTGCATTATGACCAGATTAAGACAGATAAATGAAATACATTACATATGAGACAATTCAACAAATAATTTTCTACGTCCCAATTTGAACAATAATGGTTTATGCTTTTGTCTCCACTCCGACTTCAGTTTCAAAACAATTTAAGAAGACTCCATTAAACTTTCCTTTGTATTCTTTGTAAAAATAATACCGCGAAACTATTTGTTGTCTATATGTATAAAAAATTGCCAAGGAATATAAGAAAAATTATATGGTGAGACTTGTTTTACAGAATAAGGGAAGGCAAAATAATTACAATGCAATACAGTTTATTATATTTAATTAGAAACACAAATTAGAATTACTTTGAAAACTTCCTTAAACTTTTTATTTTATCAGTCGATCATTGTAAATATAACTCTCATTAAAAAAAAATAATGAAAAAAATTGAAAGAAAAATTCTTGATGACAAAGTGAAGAAAAAGAGTAGAAAATTAAAACGAAAATAATTTTCAAAATTCACAAGAGAGAAATGCAAAATATTATAATGAATAAAAGAGGAGTGAATTGCAAAATAATGTATTAAAGAGGAGAGGTAGACGTAAAAACCATTTGAAATAAGTAGAACTTAAATGATAAATAATTGTGACTGCCTCAAAGAAAATATGAAGTGAGACAATGATAAACAGTGAAAATGAATGACAAAATGGAAAACATACATGTGTGCTTAAAATGAAAAATTAAAAGATTTAAATCTGTAAAATAGCTTATTTCACTGCAGTGTGTTGGCATGGACCTTATTGCTCAGCCTTTCGCTACACTTTTTCCAACAGATCCTTTCAGTGACGGGCCACAAAATTGCTCCATTATCTCAGGAGCGGACAGGGAGAATCAACACATTGTCAGATGGGTGCAACAATAGAACGCAGAATTGATTTAATTAGTCCTCGAAGGTAATAAAAGACATGAAGATTTGGCGGAATCCCAAATATTTTCTTCTATCGTGGCCAGACCACTGTCTCGAAAATGATATAATAATAATATTGCTTTTGTGTGTGCAATTAAAAATATAATTAATTGTATGCTAGTAAAGAGATTTTTGAGGGACACCTCAGTGAATTATAGGAAGGCATGTCGCCGTGCACAGAAATAGTCTATTGAGACAATTGAAGATAAAAAGCCACTTCAAAAGCAATACAATTATCAATATCTTATCTTCACATATACATACATATCTGTGCACAGATCTCTCTCCCATCTTATGATGTAAATTTAACACATTTTCCTTGCCTGCACATCGATCATCAGCAGCTGGAATATTTTGGAGGGGAATAAAATTGTGAAAAGTTTTCTTGGAAATCATTTCTCGTAGACTTCGCGATGCGCCAATTTACATTTTTCCCAGAATATTTACTCCACTCATAATAATCCCAAAAATTTCTGCTGCGGAGCATATAATAATTTTTAAGCCGGGAGCGATGGAAATATTTTCATGTTTCAACATATATATTTGCTACTGGAAGACGCATTCATTGTATTATTTATTGTGTGTCCCTCTCACTCGCTTCCCGAGATGGGAAATTAATGTGTTACGCGGTGGTGAGATGAAGAAGCAGTGCCCAGGCGCCCCCACCAGCAGGGACAGTACATGCCCAAGACAGAGATGATTTTTCTGGTTTCGCGTATCCCCGCAATACAAGTGCCTTGCACCGAGAGCCACGTCATCATCTTCGTGATCAGTGTAGACATTCAGAGATGTCATACATAAATCTTTCAAATTGAATGCAATTGACTCCGCGAGTGTCTTTGTTTCTCGCTCTGCGGCATTTTTGTGCCATCATCAATCCACCGGGGAGACATTCGAATAATATTTATACCTCGTCCCGCGAATTATCATCATCTGTGTACGCATTGTGTGATCAGTTTCGTGTGCAATTGAGAGCGTATTTCACTCTGTACACAATATTCGTGGAACTCGGCGTCGTCGCGCTATAATTGTCGTGCCCTCCTGAACTTTGAGCGCGCGAATACGTCGGCAAACACGGCGGCATTATTCAGATGGAAAGACGATGGATTTTTCGAGTGACAATGCATCTGGATAAAAATGCTCCCTTCTCGCGGCATGGAATCTCTTTAATGCACTGACGTGCTCACAGAGAGACAATTCCGCACCCATAACAAGGCCCTCACAATGCATGTGCCAGAGGATAGGACACTCAGTAAGTGCGTCCCTGTTATGCTAATAGTTACTCTCTTGTCATGTGAGCATTTTGCAGATACTTTATTGCACCACAAAAGCTATTTCGAGCCTTTTTATGAGGCATCTTTAGAAGGTGCTCTCTAGATCGCTCCTAGGACATGAGTTCCCATCATAACGACCGCGAATGTCTCACAGGTGCGCATCTCATGTTCTATTTTCTGAAAATTAATTTCTGTCATATTCACTCCGTTTTATAGCACCGCTTGCATTTCTCGCGGATCCTTTCTTGCTCCTTTTGCCCTCTTTTGGGAGCGCTTGCCAAAGTCTCATGGAAAGACAGTTTTATTAAGCATACCGCCTCAATATTTATTGCGTCCTTTTATAACATGTCTCTCTTTGTGCATATCACGATGATGATGCTTGTGAAGCTATGGCGCTATGATAAATTGAGCGATGACATCGTTTGTAGTTATGAAGAAAGATATTGCAAGCCGCCACAGAGATCACACATTGCGACCACCTAACTTCAACTGACATCTCACTTGCTGCTTTTTCTCCTTCCAACATCTATCTATACTTTACTGTAGCCGTCATATTTCCCCAAGTTTTCTTTCTTTTTCATGGCGCTGAACGCAAATTGTTAGCACACATCATCATTTATAGATATTTCACGCTCCATATTTCGAAAGAAACTACGTTTCTTAAGGAATCTTAAGTGAAGTATATTTTGAAACCTGTCATAAGCACAGAAAGAAAGAATAAATACTGTACGAGTTGATAAAATAATGTATTTTTTCTCACTGGAGAATTTATCAATTTTGCAGGAAAGCGGAGCACTTTTGTGCAGTCAAAGATAGACTGTGTGTTGTGGAAAATAAACCGTGAACGTTTGGGATGAAGCAGAAAGTATAAAAATAAGAAAAAAGAGTAAAAGACTAAACGACTGACAAGACATGAATCGCCCATTAAACTTCGTATTAATTTTATATTCTCCTCCCCGTCATTCCCTCATTATTCCGTGTTTATCGAAAGCATTGAAGAAATTTGTGTGAAAAAGTTCGCTGCAATCGCTATCTTATACGGTTAAATGTATATATGTAGGTATGGACTTAATGGTTAAGAGTTATGAGGTCCTGAATATTCCCTAAAATCTTCCATCTATTCAAAGTGTTTTACGAATTTATGGGGAAAATACCCCGTGAAATGAAGCAGTCTAAGTGGAATGATTTCAGAAGCATTTGAATATATGTATATTCGGCACCCGTCAAATTTATTCGTGAAGAGACGTGTAAAAAAAACTTATTTTCAAATCTTATCTTCAATCATACACATTCTCTTTCCCATTCGTCCGTGTTTATTTTTAAACCTCTCATCGTATCGCGTTGAAATCTCAACTTCTGGATGGAACGAGAACTCCCAGTAGCGCTCCATCGATCGATCCACAATTGGACTCGTGTTTCAACTCAGTGAGACTCTTTCTCGCCCGACTTCTCCTCGCGCTTATATTCTATGAAATTCATATTTCATCGGACGAGCGTTCTGAGTATGCGCCGCGTATATTGGCTCCTTTGGGCGCAACATATTTTAATACAAGCTATGAGATGATGACAAACCAAATCTTCAGTTATGACACGCCTGGGAGGAGCATTCGGCTCAGGGCGGAGCATATTTCTCACTTATTGCTGCATGAATTCAATTGCATTCGCATTTCATTCGTATTAATAACCATCCCTCGTATTGTGCCTTATACATATAAAAACGCCAATCCGGCAATTTTTACTGTCCCTTCTCGAGGGGACAGAACGTGACAATATTATTGCTCTGGAAATTTCACCCCACTGAAATAAATGTACGCATGTAGCACACGACTAAGACCTATTTATCTCATTTTTCAGTCCACATGTCTTCACTGGAAAAGATTTAATTCTAAATAACAATATTCTAACTTTGCGTGTAGCGAAACTGAAATCATTGATTGCGATGAATTTACTTCTAAATTACTCAATCGCCATGAATTATGTAAATCTATGAAAGGCTCTATGTCTGAAATTGTCTCGGCAGTTAGTATCGTGATAGAGAAAGTCCATCACCCCTTCAGACAGAATGTTAAACTCAGGACAAGATTTCAGCTCACAACTCCCACGGGTTTTCAACACATTCTGGCCGAGTCCACACAACCCTCTCGCTCGCTTCACTTTTTCCACAAAACCGAAAGGATATTTCTGTGGGATGCACGAAGAAAGTGATGGTATATTTATTGATCCGCAATATACTTGAATATTCCCTGTGATACTCTTTTCCGCTGGGCCTGGATGCGGTTCAAAGACATTTGATGCGTGGATT